GTCTGTCTGTGCGTGTGTGTGTCTGTCTGTCTGTCTGTCTGTGCGTGTGTCTGTCTGTCTGTCTGTGCGTGTGTGTCTGTCTGTCTGTCTGTGCGTGTGTGTGTGTCTGTCTGTCTGTGCGTGTGTGTGTGTCTGTCTGTCTGTGCGTGTGTGTGTGTCTGTCTGTCTGTCTGTGCGTGTGTGTGTCTGTCTGTCTGTGCGTGTGTGTGTCTGTCTGTCTGTCTGTGCGCGTGTCTGTCTGTCTGTGCGCGTGTCTGTCTGTGTGTGTGTCTGTGTCTGTGATGGACTGGCGTCCCATCCAGGGTGTAGCCTGCCTTGCTCCCGTTGCTTGCTGGGATAGGCTCCAGCTGCCCCATAAGCCTGAATCGGAGGACGAGTTTAGAAAACGGATGAATGGAAGGGACTGTCGAGTCCAGACAGGCCATAAAGGGTGCGAAGGGTGGGGGTATCTGGTGGAGTGGACGGTGGGGAAAGAACGAGTGTCCGATCCCGGGGCTGATCGGCCTTTCCTCCCCCCCCCTCCAGGAGTTCGCCCGGTTCTACTTCAGCGCCGGCGGGCCGAAGACCTATGAGCTGGAGAGCAACGACGAGCTGCTGCGCACAGGTGGGGGCGCCTGGGGGCGGCGGCTGTGGTCTGGGGAGGGAGGGGGCGCCGCCACTATCGAGAGACGGGGCGGACCGCCCCTGGGTTTTTCCCCAGTCCGAGCCCTGGGTGCGTGGCTCGTGTTTGATGGGGTGTCGCTTTCCCGGCCCGTCTCGTGTTGGGGGGGGGCGTGATCTAATCGATGAAGATGACGAGCTGTGCCCCCAGCCTGCGGGTCTCATTCCTCCCCCCCCCCCTCTCTCCCAGAAAACGGTCCGACGGAGAACGGGAAGCCGAACGGCCAGGCCCGCCTCGCCCTGGAGAACGGCCCCCCCAGCCCGGCCAAGAAGTCTTCGGTCATCCAGGTTTTCAAGAAGGTGGGTCCGGCTCCTTCCTTCCTTCCCCCGTTTGTCCTCCCTGTCCGAAACCCCCGCTGGCCCGGTTTCCGCC